TGCCTTGTTAGGAATCATATCTGGGCCTGGGGCCTTTTCGACTTTGATTCTCCTAACTTCAGCCAAGACTTCCGCAGTATTTGTGAACGTGGGAAAATTCTCACTTTGAAGCAGGGAGGGCTCTTGCTGTGGCTGCAGTGCTACACTCGGCGGGAAGAGGTGCGCCACTATGTTGCTGAGCTGCTCAGGACATGTTGGGGTTGGCTGGCTGAAGGCCGCCAACTTCCCCATTACCAGCTTGTACGCTGTACCCCAGGGACGTGTGTCTGCGTCATCGCATAATTTTGCGAAGCATTGTTTCTTGCTTGCGGAGATCTCCTTTTTAAGAGCCGACCGCAAGAATTTGCAGAGGCGTTGGAGTGAGGCGAAGTCCGGCCTACCTCGAGAGCGCATGTATTGCCTTCGTGCCTGGTGGCACTTCCTGCGCGCCTCCGCTATGGCATCGGTCCACCAATACACCGGGGGACACCCATTACCGCCAGCACGTCTCCTTTGCATGGAAGCTGCGCATGCTGACCAAGTCGCTTTTTTTATGCAAACAGCGTTTTCATTGGCGTTCTTACGCTCGTCATAGCACTTTCATCCTGCTCCATCTCGTGTGGAGGAGAAGACGAGATGCATGGGAAATGCAACAGGTTGCCGAAACATTCAAGACGACCGAGGACGGTCTTACTCCTAAGGGGGAAGTAGTTAACACTTCTGAGGGGTAACAAACAGTCGGTAGAAATCTTGGGTGATTCTTGGATCACCCTAGTCCTTCTAGATGTCGACTCAGCATACCCGCCTTCGGGGCCGTGCCTGGATCCCATTGGTTCCCGGTATGGTGAGTTATGCTCATTTTGCGATCGTCAGCATTTCCCACTGTCATGCGGTCGGCCTGCCGACTAAGCACCCTACTGCTAAGTTCCTCAGTTCTAATTTATAATCATTTGAATAAAGAGCACTTAGCTCCGTAAACTTAACTCTGGCTATCGCCGTCTTATTATTTGCATACGCTGAGCTTAAGGCCAGGGGTATAGGGGGGCAGTCACCCTCTCGACATAAACTTTATTTTACACTTCATCAAGCACCCTACCGGTGGCACACCATCAGCGGCCACCAGGGACCACCAGCCCGGCCGCCAATTCTCACCTATCTTGAACCGCTACTACTCATCAAGCACCATACCGGTGCCACCTCATCATCGGCCGGATCTGGAGCAGCCTTAACACCGAGCAACCGACTACAAGATAACTTACATACGTTCATATATATCGGTGGATAAAACTGATTGGGACATATGGCTTCAATATTTTGTATATTGTTTCAACACGACCCCATCTATGGCACATAATTATTGTCCATATGAATTAGCCTTTGGAAAAACTAACAATTTACCAAAGCACTTCAATAGCATTTATAATATAGAATTAATCTACAATATAGAAGATTACGGTAAAGAAAGTAAGTACAGGTTAGAAGTAGCATACGAGGTGTGTTCAAAAAGTATCGCGAATTTTGAATATTCGCGGGTTACCTCGTATCGAATTTCGATTTTTTTGTGGCGTTATGTTGGTACTCATGTCTCTCACTTATGCTGTTGTTGACAGCTGCTTTGCTTGCACGTGTTTTGGACCGTCTTCGATTTTTACATATTAAAAAAAATAGATCAAAGAACCTGTATCAAATTTTGTGTGAAAAACGAAATTAAGTGCGTGGATGCATTCCGAATGTTGACTGTGGCATACGGAGAAGCTACCTTGGACTGAAGCAACGTTTATCGGTGGTACAAAATGTTCTCAGAAGGCCGAGAAGATGTGAACGACGAAGAGCGTGCCGGACGCCCGAGCACTTCAACAACAGACAGTTGCTGACAGTTTTCTTCGATTGCAATGGCGTGATGCACCATGAGTTCTTGCCTCAGGGAAGAACGGTCAATAAGGAATATTACCTGCAAGTTATGCGCAATTTGCGCGAAGCAATCCGCCAGAAACGCCGGAAACGGATTTGTGGAAGAAATAAATTTGGCTTTTGCACCACGATAACGCCCCTGCTCACACATCGTTGCTTGCTCGCGCCTTTTTGGCCAAAAACAACACACTAATGATGCCTCAACCACCGTATTCCCCAGATCTGGCCCCCTGTGACTTTTTCTTGTTTCCTAAACTGAAGAGGCCCATGAAAGGACGACGTTACGCTACGCTTGACGAGATATAGACGATATCGAAGAAGGAGCTGAACAAGATAAAAAAAATGATTTTTTGAAGTGCTTCGAAGATTGGAAAAACCGTTGGCACAAGTGCATAATATCTCATGGAGATTACTTTGAAATGGAGAAAATAGATATTCAAGAATAAATAAATAATTTTTGCAAAAAACACAAAATTCGCGATACTTTTTGAACATGGATATGTGTGTGTTTTTTTTTTTTTTTTTTTTTTTTGTATAGGGGGGAAAGTTTGAAGAGCCGAAGTGTGGGTCTTTCACCCACTAAAACCCTGAACCTACTCTCCGTTTTCCTCTCACGGCACAACCTCAGGGGGTTAACCTTGGGTATTACTTCATAAGGGGGGAAGTGGTCTGAAAGCCGCAACTAGTAATTAAACTAGGTTTGAAGTCGATTGCGCTGACGTTCAGCGCGACGCATGGATTTCATGACAAAGACTGTAATTTTGCTTACGGCATCCCAATTGTTTTGTGAGCCCAGTAGCGTATCCATTAGGTCAGAGACCGTGAACGGCTTCCTAATCGCTAAGCTGAGCTCATGCCTTAAAGCTTCGAATCTCGGACAGACAAAGAATACATGTTCTGCGTCTTCAATTGCCCCCGCACAGTGTGTGCAAAAGGGGTCTGTCTCGTGCCCGTACCTATGGAGATAGGATTTGAAGCACCCATGTCCTGTCAATGATTGCGTCATGTAGAAGTCAACTTGTCCGTGCTTTCTTTCTGTCCAACGCTCCACATCGGGCAGAAGTTTATATGTCTACCTACCTTTCGAGCTGCTACTCCATCGACTTTGCCACGCTGAGACCACGCGGGCGCTGGTCTCCTCCATCGATGCATCTCCGCCGGTCCGTTCCTGGGCCTGATTTGCGAGCAGGTCCAGTGGCGTCATGGCGGATAGGAACAGCGCACTATCTTCGGAAACGGTCCGAAAGCCACAAATGACTCGGAGTGCGTCGCGTCTGTATGCCGCCCTGCACGAGCGGCTATAAGTTGGTGAGGTCATGGCCGGAGCCCAGATCGGTGCTGCATACATAATAGTGGATTTTACCTCACTGGAAAGAAGGCGCCTACTCTGCTGTTTAGGCCAGTTTACGTTCCCTAACATCCTAGCTAGGGACGTGGTAACTTTGGCCGCTTTGTTGCCCGTCACTTCTAAATGGAATTTGAACGTAAGCCGGTGATCCAGCATTACGCCAAGGAACCTAATGAAGGGCTTGGACCGTATAGTAGTCCTACCCACTATTATTTGGGCGGTTTCTACCGCCTTCCTGCTGCTAATCAAGACGGATTCCGTCTTGTGCTCGGCTAGCTTCAAGCCATTGGCACATAGCCAGTGGGAAGCTTGCTCGATGGACGCATTTGTTACAGCTTCGGCTTCATTTAACTGCTTCGCTACTGCGACGACGGCAATATCGTCTGCGAAGCCAATGATCGTAGCTCCTTGAGGGAGCTGTAGGTTAAGTATTCCGTCGTACATGCAGTTCCAGAGGGTAGGGCCCAGCACAGAGCCCTGAGGAACTCCTGCTGAAACTGCATAGCTTCGACGGCCCTCCTCAGTATCATATAGAAGCTGTCTGTTGCTAAGATACTCTGAGACTATGTCCACCAGATAGCTGGGGACCTGTAAACGTCTCAGGGCCGAAAGTATCCGCTCCCAGTTTGCTGTGTTAAATGCGTTCTTAATATCCAGAGTAGTCACCAGGCAGTATTTTTTGATACCACCTCGCCAACGTGCTCCCTGGATTGCCTCAGAGGCCAGTTTATGTACCAGCCCGATCGCGTCCACTGTGGAGCGCTTCTTCCTAAAACCAAATTGATTGTGGGATAAGCCCGGACTCTCGGACAGTGCAACTTCGATGCGGTTGCAGATGAGCCTCTCATATACCTTTGCCACAGTGTCAAGCATGCAGAGTGGTCTATAGGCCGCAAGGTTGTCATTTTGACTGCCCTTTGGTAATAGTACCAGTCTCTGCATTTTCCAGGCTTCAGGGAACGTTCTCTGTGCGAAACAGGCATTGAAGAGCTTGACGAAGATCTCTAAGCTCTCCGTCATTATGATCTTTAATGCCTTGTTAGGAATCATATCTGGGCCTGGGGCCTTTTCGACTTTGATTCTCCTAACTTCAGCCAAGACTTCCGCAGTATTTGTGAACGTGGGAAAATTCTCACTTTGAAGCAGGGAGGGCTCTTGCTGTGGCTGCAGTGCTACACTCGGCGGGAAGAGGTGCGCCACTATGTTGCTGAGCTGCTCAGGACATGTTGGGGTTGGCTGGCTGAAGGCCGCCAACTTCCCCATTACCAGCTTGTACGCTGTACCCCAGGGACGTGTGTCTGCGTCATCGCATAATTTTGCGAAGCATTGTTTCTTGCTTGCGGAGATCTCCTTTTTAAGAGCCGACCGCAAGAATTTGCAGAGGCGTTGGAGTGAGGCGAAGTCCGGCCTACCTCGAGAGCGCATGTATTGCCTTCGTGCCTGGTGGCACTTCCTGCGCGCCTCCGCTATGGCATCGGTCCACCAATACACCGGGGGACACCCATTACCGCCAGCACGTCTCCTTTGCATGGAAGCTGCGCATGCTGACCAAGTCGCTTTTTTTATGCAAACAGCGTTTTCATTGGCGTTCTTACGCTCGTCATACACGAGATCTTCCGCCATTAAGATCAGGGCTTGCGGGTCGAGGGTAGAATCTCGGAACCCAGTGGACGCATTGGTGTTTTTGCGTTTAAATCGCCCGTCTCGCTTCCGGTATATATCTCTGAGACTTGCCATGCTGACGTCCTGGTTAAGGTTGGGCTCATGAACGTGATGTCATCACAGAACCCATTCCCGCCTTCTCGTAGGTGTTGGCAGTCCCTGTGTTAGCCAGAGTGAGGCCTGACCGGGCCAACAATATGTGGCCTCTATGGTTTGTGAGGCGACTGCCCCACTCCGTTGCCCAGGCGTTGAAATCGCCGGCAATGATGATGGGGTGTCGTCCTCTAGCGTCCTCCAGAATGTCGTCGACAATGCTGCCAAATGTCTGGGAGTCGACACTGGGTGCAATGTAGCACGAGTAGATGGTAAGGCTACCCACCTTCGCCCTGACAAAACCTCTGCCTGAATGCCGGCATTGGATCTGCAGTGGTCTCGGGCTGCAGCTCCAAATTGATGCACCACCCTGGGAGTTTTGAAACCAAATCCCATCGTGCTTACTTGCGTATGGCTCGCTCAAGATGGCCAGGCCTATTTTTAAGGCTCGCACCGTTTGTGCAAGCAAGTCCTGGGCCGCTCTGCAATGGTTCAAATTCAATTGGAGAATTTTCATTTCCCCTTTGCTTTGAGAGCCTGCTGATAAGCTGGGCAGCTTCTGCTTAGCGTGTGGTGCTTGCAGTTTACGCCATGGGTTTTTGCGCATAATAGGCAGCGTGCCTCTTTGCTGCACCACCTTGGGAGTTTTGAAACCAAATCCCATCGTGCTTACTTGCGTATGGCTCGCTCAAGATGGCCAGGTCTATTTTTAAGGCTCGCACCGTTTGTGCAAGCAAGTCCTGGGCCGCTCTGCAATGGTTCAAATTCAATAAGAGAATTTTCATTTCCCCTTTGCTTTGAAAGCCTGATGATAAGCTGGGCAGCTTCTGCTTAGCGTGTGGTGCTTGCAGTTTACGCCATGGGTTTTTGCGCATAATAGGCAGCGTGCCTCTTTGCTGCAGCTTTTGGACTCGTGATCGAGCCCCCGCAGTTGAAGCACGTTTTGGACAAATCGACCTTGCTACGGCAGTGCAAGGCCAAGTGACCAAATGCGAGGCATTTATAGCTCTACGGTTTTACGGACCCTACATTGCGCCCAGTCGATGCGGATTTTTCCTTCGACTACGATCTTCTCCGTAAGAGCGGGCGGGATGCTCATCCTGGCTACTAGTGTGCCCCCGTATGCCTTCCTTAGGGAAGGAATGGCCGCTGGTGAAATATCGCCCTCATAGTTGGCGAAAACCGCCTGAATGATATCGGCCTTCGACGAGAACTCTGCTATGTCCCTAATCTTTACCTGGACTAGCTCCTTCAACTCCTTAACCTCTGCCTTGTCAGACAGGGTCTCCTGCATAGCCTTCTGTAGCCTGGATGTGGCTGGGTCGGCCGTTTTCATCATTTTGATGAGGAGCTCGCCCCTGCCAGTCATCCGAATGCCTTTTACGCAATCTTTGTGCTGCTGCAAAGTTGGGTTATTTTTTACCAACTTTAGTACTTCGGCATACTGCATACCCTCGCTACACTTGACGACTAGTGCGTCTGTGCGTGGAGGGAGTTTTCTCTGCTGCTGCTGCTTTTTTGGCTGCTGCTTCTTCGGTTTTTTGGTAACCGTCGACCACTCCGCACCCTCCTTCTTGCCTTTGGCCACATGGCTCTGCGGGAGAGGGCCGGAAATCTCCTTCGCTGCACTAGCGTAGGTGATGGATTTCACCACCTTATTGCTTGTGCCGCAAGGTTGCGGCACCTTCTGCCTTTTTGGCGCTGAGAGCTTACCGGCTCTAGGGCTCTCTCTTTGCCTCTTAGGTGTGGGCTTTTGCTCTCTGGGATTACTAGGGGCCGTCTCCAGTATCTTTACAGCAGACTTCTGGAGGGAGATGATCTGCTGGACGAGTTCCTTCATAGGGATCGTCACCATCACCCTCGTCTTTCCTACCATCATGCTATTTAGTTGGGACAATTTCGCTCCAATCGCGCCAATAACTCCGTCTATGTCGCCATTGGCGATAAGCGGAGCCAGCCCCTGCTCTGAAATTGCGCTGAAGTGGAAGACCCCAACTTCAGTGGGACCTCCAGCATGCGCCGTTTCCGCCTGTTCCTTCTCTGCTGCGGGCAAGAAAATGGATGGAGATTTAGGCACCTTAGTCGGTGATCTCCCCATTTTGTTGCTCTTCTTGAACGGGTCGGCTTCCAGCGCAGCAGTGTTTTTTGCTGTTGCGCATTCAGACTTGCCCTGTGGCGCCTCCTTAATGCTGCTAACTGGGCCAGGGCCACGGCTCGCCATCCTTTAATTCTTTTGTTTACTACCTGTCGCCTAAAAGTATGCTATACTTGGTCGGAGGAGAGCTTGCTTTAGAGCTTTCCCCGCGGGTTGGCAGCTCGGCTTACGCTTGCGCAAAAGTTGGTAACTCTGCAGCGCAGCTGATTAGTCAACTGACCACAATATGGCAGACCCAATCCACCCAATTCGGAAAAATTGAGTGAAAAGGGTTTTCACTCACCTGCAGGGGGGTAACACCTCTTCGTCCCAGTGCCGAGCCGACGCTGCTGGAGCCAGAGGGATTCTGGGATCCAGGGAAGTAGAGGTGAAGAAACATCGATGTTCACGGACATCGATGTTTTTGATGAATAACATCGATGTTTCATCGATGTTTAAATAAAAAAATTAGCAGTTTGTTTTTAGCGTATTTGGACTTCTTTTTTTAATATTTAATGCTTAAAAATAAAAATGAAATGTGTATCCATTTTATTATTAAATTTTAAATAAAGAAGAACTGTTCGCTGGCTGCTCCTACAAAGAATAAACTGTATCAATGCCAATTCAATGCAAAAGCAAAAATGCATGCAATGTGCAAAAATTAGAAGCGTTTTTCTAATTATTAAAAACCGAAACTTGGGTGGCTAATTAATAAATTTATTGGCAAAACGACAACGAAAAAGAAATGCGTGCACTCGATCAAACTCAATTTCAACGAATGCTCTATTCTCCACAATCATACTTAAGCCTAGCTTACCGAAGGTTGGCGAAGACGGAGCGAACTCGCAGAGAGCGAACAAAAGCTTTATTGCGCTCCCGCCTTCGCCCTAAACTAACTTACAGTAAACTTCAAATTCAATTCAACAAGACTTATTCTAACAATTCAAAAAATAAAAAAAACGAAAAACTGGCTTCAGCCAACAGAAGAACTGTTCGCTGGCTGCTCCTACAAAGAATAAACTGTATCAATGCCAATTCAATGCAAAAGCAAAAATGCATGCAATGTGCATGTGCAACAGAAACGCATATAACTATACATATGTATATATGAATGTATTTATGTAAATACAAAAAAATTCTGATATGTATTTAATACTTACTTTTTAAAAATCTGTCCATGATTTATTTCCACCACTCACGCCAACACCACCAACAAGTATTAAAAATAACAATATTCTGTTAGTAATTTATAATAAAATTAAATGATATTTGTACTTACAATGTGTCAATCTTCCCTTTTGCGCCTTAGATATTAGAGATGGAAAAACATCGATGTTGCCCCGGTAAACATCGATGTTGCCGATGTTTCAAAAACATCGATATCATCGATGTTGCCATCGATGTTTCTCCACCTCTACAGGGAAGACCTTCGCACACTGGTAAGTTCCTCCTTCCACAAGTATGGGTCACTACAGCCCCTCTTCTTCACCTCTAGGCCACGCAATCGCGGTACACAACGATGGAAACTTGTTTTCGCGCACTCGAATGAAAAACACGTCCGGCACGCATCGACTTTCCTCTTCTTCATATGTGTGTGTATGTGTATGGATATGTGTGTTTGGGAACTCAGAAATATATGAGTTTAAAATTGAATGTTGTATATTTGGAAATTATAAATGATGTGGGCTGTATTGTAAATGTCACTTTGGAAATCTTTGAAGGGTGTACTGCGAAGGAACTTACGTTTGTTATCGTGCTTATGTATGGGCATGTGTACCCTGCAGTTCCAAAATTGCTTTGTCGTAGATGAAATGTGCGACGACGCACCGACGACAGCGGAGGTAGGTGCTACAGCCGCACCTACCACATTTCAACAGACATTTTGTATGGAATTGAAGTTTTCGACATACATGACGCTCTCGATGACCTTTTTGTCCGTGTCGTCGAACGAGTCGTCGGTGGCTTATATTTGTATTTTTTTTGTAGTTAAATTTAAATAAAAATATAAACAATTGTTGTATATTATAAAAGTTTTTTTTTATTTTTAAATACAATCAGTAATTATAAGACTTAAAATACTCTTCATTAAAATAATTCGTTTCTTTTAAGCCGACACAATCTAAATATTTTTTAAACAATCATTTCATAAGAAAAATATATTAACTTTGAATTATAACCAGGGATGCCAGGCAGGGTCCATACGACACAGATTGTCGATGTTGGTTGCCGATTGTATAAGCATGGATATCTTTTTATTTTCAATACTATCGAAATAAGAAATTTTATTAAAACGTGACATTATAGTTTCCACGGCTGAATTCACAACGTTAACTGTGAGCTCCATATAATTTCCATCGATAGAATGCTCTTCTGAACGGTCCTTACATTCTCTAAGCCCTTTTTTTTGCAAGGCTATTATTTCATCTCTTAAAACAGTTTGCAATATTGAGCATAGCTTATAATTTGGTTGAATAAAACATCGAGCTGTTGCTACAATTGCTGCCGATAAAGGGCCAGTTGTACCAATGTGTGTTACAAATTCTCCAATGTTGGGAGTTAAGCGAAATGGTACTGGCCTGTGTTGGTTAAGCTCACACTTATCATCATTTACATCAAATTTAAAATAAGATATGTTCATCAGTCCAGAGTCTTGATGGAGGTACATCATATCGGCATTCAGACGAGTCAAGTTTAAGGCGTGTTCGCATAGAAAAGCCAACGCCAACTGCAGAGTAAGCTGTAAGACAAAAATAAATTGTGTTTTATTTATAACTTAAAATTCTCTAGTTTACATTGTAAAGCAAGAAATCAAATAAAGTTAAGATCGCATAAAAGCAGAGAGCCGAACTCATCCCAAAACTATACTAGCAATATTCTTAGTTTTTTGTATTAACGAGGACGGTTTAATAAGTCAGTGAATTTTTAGATAAAATAATCGCTTTATTGCGGCAAATTAACATTTTATTTTTCTAATACAAAATCACCTTTTAGATCGATATATTTAGTCTATCGTTTTTCTAATTTTTTTATTCCCTCCCAATAATAGGTTTTCCCCAAGACTCTCAAAATTTGTTTCGGTAGTGACTTCTATACTGGATACGACACCAGTTCGTATATCAATTCGTGGATTTTGGTCATCGTGACTATCAGCACACGAAATTTACTTTATTCGATTTTCGTAAAAATTCACCAGGGTGTCTGCTCTGAATGGTTATCAAACACCAACTGCATGATGTAGCGTTCTCAAAATTTGACAGTTGGCCACTAATAGATTACAGCTGACAGCAGCACCAATGCATTTGGAGCAACTGAGCGGGAAATTAAAAAAGTCATTGACTTATCAAACCGCCCTCGTCGTTCGTTATTTAAAAAAACCAACAATCAAGTGTACTATATATAGCACTTCTTAAGTTTAGTCAAAATTGCCACTATTTTTCTTATTTCTATGATATATAGTAGTGCTATATGACACTTTAGTCCCATCTTTAAAATAATACTATTTCAATAGCTTTTATCGCAACGAATTGCTAAATGTAGAACAAAATGGATGAATGCCGAACAACACTAACAACGAGAGCAAATCTTTTAAGAAAATTAATGTGGCGGAGTCAGGATTACAGTAAGTTAAAGCACGAATCTAGTCGATAGGCATTTTGGATCATTTACAATGCTTTCTTCGCGTGTCAAGAAATACGCTACTTTTAGGATATTCAGGAATAGCCAAGAAGTAAGAGTGGTAAAGTGCATTGTATGTATTAAATGCAATGGTCGAAGGGGAATCCTTATGAAAACATGAAAGGAAGCTAAATTCGGCGAGCCGAACAATCATCATTACAATCATCACAAATTTAAAGCAAAATGCATAAAGATTAATCAACAGCAAAGTTACGCGATTTTTCTATTAATATTATACATTCAAGGGTTGTTCAGAAGACAACTATATAATATAATACTGCCTTCCGATTTTCAGTAAATTTAATTTATATTAATAAACTTAAAAATTTCTTTCGTTTTAATTTTTTTTCCTTCCTTCTTTTAACATCCCGTCAAAATTTCCGCGAACTGGGTTATACCCAGCAAGTTTATTAAGTGATAGATTTATTAAAATTAACAAAGGTTTACAGGACTGACAAAAATTCCTCGACGCTTGACAACTTAATTGATGCAACCAACACGACAGCTTGATCAACACTGCTCTCGCTTTTCCACTTCGCTCTGAGGGAATGCTCTCTTTGTCGTCACGCTGCCCATACTGCTTTACATTCGGCCATCGTGATTAGTCTTCTGTCTCAGATGACTCACACTGCTCGTCGGTCTGGGTTGCATATGCCCACAGCTTCATGTGATCTTCACTTGTACATGTCTTCATCGGACCTTCGACCTGAGCTGTCTTACGAACGTCATAGCGCCCATTTCGCTTTACTTTTATTATCTCGTATGGGCCCAAAAACTCGCTTGCCAGTTTCCTTCCAGCGACAAATTGCGTACGACGGATTGCGACCAAGTCACCCACACGATACTCGTGAGGATTCTTACACTTCTTATCGTGCTGCCTTTTGTACGATTCTTGTGCGCACTGAATATTACATTTTGCCTCTTGTCTTATCCGCAGTCTTTCCTCATCAAAATGTTCGTACATCTCCTGCTCCAACATTCTATTAATGCTTTCCAGCTTAAACCAGCTGTAAATGCCGAACCTCGATCTGACACAATCCTCATCGGAGCCCCGAATACTGCCGACCACATATCCAATTTGTTTATAGTTTCCTCACAGCTTGTTGTTTTGGTCGGATACAGCCATATGAATTTTGTGAAAGCATCAACAATCGCTTAAATATGTTTGTATTGTTTTGTAGTGGCAGCCATTGGCCCCAAATAGTCTATATGAAGTGTATGTAGCGGCTGATCTCCCTTTTCGACGAGATGTAACTGTCCTTTTTTTTACCAATTTTTTTTTATTAAACATTATACATTTTATACAGCCACTTATGGCTTGTGAAACTTTTCTCTCTAGATGTGCAATCCAAAAATGGTGCCTAATATTGTGACATGTTTTTTGAGCACCAAAATGTCCTGCATTATAAGCCTCAACAGTTATTTCCTTTTCCATTTGCCGTGGAACAACCAATAAATCATCTTCTACCTTATAGACCAGCCCGCCTTTTAGTTTGTACGATCCATATGGACGGTCAACAAGTATTTCTAAGATGGCTTTTATCATTTCGTCTTTCTCCTGCGCTTTTTTCAACTTAGCCGTCATCTCTGTCGACACCAACATAATCTGGCACGGATAGCGACTAAGAAAATCGACGTGTTTAAGTCTGTTTCCCGGTCGATACTCGATTTGAAACTCAAAATCCTGCATATATACGATCCATTGCTGAACTTCACGAGGGACATCTTGCTTGTTAAGCGTTTGACTAAACGCTGCACAATCTGTCACCAGCTTAAATGGCTTTCCCAGTAAATAGCGTCGAAATTTTTTTATGGCTAGATAAGCTGCTTTCGCCTCTAATATGTAACTATGTTTGCGTGACTCTGATTCAGTCGTTTTCTTACTCCAATATAAAACTGGATGGAGCTCTTCTTCGGACCACTGCAACAAGGCTGCCCAAAACCATCTTTTGATGCATCTGTATGCAATTTGCTTTTAGCTTCTCTATTGTATAATTATAGCACGGGTTCTTCTGTCAATGCCTTCTTTAGCTCTTGAAAAACCGCCAATTCTGCTGACTCTATCCGGAAGGTTGCATCTTTCTTCAAACGAATAATCTTTAATGAACTTCCGAAAAAGGCTGTTAATCCCAAAAAGGCCTAAACAGCTCGCACATTTTTGGGCACAGGAAACTTATTAACAGCATCTGTTTTCTCCTGACCAGGACCAACATATGCTCCATAAATTTTATGGCTTAGAAACGATATAGATGGCTGTAAAAAATGGCATTTCTTCCATTTAATTTTTAATCCGTGCAACGTAGCCGCCTTCAATACCATCTTCATCTTCTTTAAACATTCGTCTGCTGTTTCCGCGTGAATTATTATATCATCCACGTATAGGTCCAAAACATTTTGCTTCCTTAAATCTTCGAAAATGTGACTCACATATCGTATAAACACGGGTGGTGAATTCCCAAATCCAAATGGGGCTTTATTGAATTCAAAAAGCCCATTCTTTGTAAGAACTTGGCCTTCTGCAATTTCTCCAGCACGTCATCAATTACCGGTACAGGAAAACAATCTTTCAAAACCATTGAGTTTAGCTTTCGATAATCAACACAAATTCGTCTTGAGCCATAATTTTTGTTTAACAGCACCAAACGACTGGCAAAGTGAGATAACGACTCTCTAATAATTCTTTAGCGAAGTCTAATTTGAATTTGCCGGTCAACTTCTTCTTCCTCCTCAATAGCCAGTCGTCTAGGAGCTTGATGAAATGGAATAATTTCACCATCTGGTATTATCTTCAGCAGCACAGGAAACTCAATCACCGGCTTCACAGGATCATATTGGTCAATCAACGATTTTACTTCATGTAGATACCGCGACGGAACATCAATATCAATGTGTGCTTCAACCATATTGTATATATCATACTTATCTGATTAGGCGCATCAGCTTTCCCACCGGTAGGGCAGGAAAACTGATATCCATCTTGCGAAGAAGTAAAAGTAAATCCAAATTTATCTCAGCTACGAAACGACCAATGGGGCGAATTATATTGTTCCCCAAACCTCGTAGCTGCAATTCACATTTTTCCAACTGCACGCTGCTGACCTTTTTGAATACGTTCTCTTTGACAATAGTCAAATCAGCTCCTGTGTCTATCAAGCAGTCCACTTCAATTCCGTTTAATATGACTCATTTTAGACGCTTACTGTCGTGCACCAATGCCACATTCACAGCTGTTCCAGAACAATCCCTTGAAATATGTCCACCTTTTTGGCAACGAAAACATTTTTTTCTTCTTTACAAAAAATGCTCTGAGGACCCACAGTTATAGCATTGATTTTTCTTTTCTTTATCCCCCTGTCCCGCATTAAACTTTTTTTCTTCTCTTTGCAACTTATTAGCTGCCGACGCTCGCTCATAAATTCCATACTGATTTTCCAGCTCCTTAAACTGAACTTAAAGTCAGTTTTCAAATTTAGACCATCTACTATATAACGAATTATTGAACAGGAGTCAACTGCGCCCGCCGTGGCAATCTTCCTCATTTGGAGCACATAGTCTTTGAAGCTTTCTTCTTTTTCTTTTTCTGCAAACGCAACTTTGCATGTATATCCGCACTACACACAGAAGACTCACTATCAAATTCCTCTTCCAATAGTTTCCGCAACTCAGAATAATTGGATGCGTGTGTCGTCTCAAGAAAATATTTTGCAGATTTTGTAACCTTCCATAGGGCATGTACAAATTTCTGTGGATCACTTAGTCCATACGCGTTGGCGTTTGTCTCAAAGCTCGTGAACCAATTTTTAACTGGAATTGTTATACATATCATCAAATTCTGGTATTATGCTCGCAAAATTTTTAACAGTAATTTTAGGTTCGTCTCGCTTAACTTCATCTGCTTGTATTTTTAACGTCAACACCACCAACAAGTATTAAAAATAACAATATTCTGTTAGTAATTTATAATAAAATTAAATGATATTTGTACTTACAATGTGTCAATCTTCCCTTTTGCGCCTTAGATATTAGAGATGGAAAAACATCGATGTTGCCCCGGTAAACATCGATGTTGCCGATGTTTCAAAAACATCGATATCATCGATGTTGCCATCGATGTTTCTCCACCTCTACAGGGAAGACCTTCGCACACTGGTAAGTTCCTCCTTCCACAAGTATGGGTCACTACAGCCCCTCTTCTTCACCTCTAGGCCACGCAATCGCGGTACACAACGATGGAAACTTGTTTTCGCGCACTCGAATGAAAAACACGTCCGGCACGCATCGACTTTCCTCTTCTTCATATGTGTGTGTATGTGTATGGATATGTGTGTTTGGGAACTCAGAAATATATGAGTTTAAAATTGAATGTTGTATATTTGGAAATTATAAATGATGTGGGCTGTATTGTAAATGTCACTTTGGAAATCTTTGAAGGGTGTACTGCGAAGGAACTTACGTTTGTTATCGTGCTTATGTATGGGCATGTGTACCCTGCAGTTCCAAAATTGCTTTGTCGTAGATGAAATGTGCGACGACGCACCGACGACAGCGGAGGTAGGTGCTACAGCCGCACCTACCACATTTCAACAGACATTTTGTATGGAATTGAAGTTTTCGACATACATGACGCTCTCGATGACCTTTTTGTCCGTGTCGTCGAACGAGTCGTCGGTGGCTTATATTTGTATTTTTTTTGTAGTTAAATTTAAATAAAAATATAAACAATTGTTGTATATTATAAAAGTTTTTTTTTATTTTTAAATACAATCAGTAATTATAAGACTTAAAATACTCTTCATTAAAATAATTCGTTTCTTTTAAGCCGACACAATCTAAATATTTTTTAAACAATCATTTCATAAGAAAAATATATTAACTTTGAATTATAACCAGGGATGCCAGGCAGGGTCCATACGACACAGATTGTCGATGTTGGTTGCCGATTGTATAAGCATGGATATCTTTTTATTTTCAATACTATCGAAATAAGAAATTTTATTAAAACGTGACATTATAGTTTCCACGGCTGAATTCACAACGTTAACTGTGAGCTCCATATAATTTCCATCGATAGAATGCTCTTCTGAACGGTCCTTACATTCTCTAAGCCCTTTTTTTTGCAAGGCTATTATTTCATCTCTTAAAACAGTTTGCAATATTGAGCATAGCTTATAATTTGGTTGAATAAAACATCGAGCTGTTGCTACAATTGCTGCCGATAAAGGGCCAGTTGTACCAATGTGTGTTACAAATTCTCCAATGTTGGGAGTTAAGCGAAATGGTACTGGCCTGTGTTGGTTAAGCTCACACTTATCATCATTTACATCAAATTTAAAATAAGATATGTTCATCAGTCCAGAGTCTTGATGGAGGTACATCATATCGGCATTCAGACGAGTCAAGTTTAAGGCGTGTTCGCATAGAAAAGCCAACGCCAACTGCAGAGTAAGCTGTAAGACAAAAATAAATTGTGTTTTATTTATAACTTAAAATTCTCTAGTTTACATTGTAAAGCAAGAAATCAAATAAAGTTAAGATCGCATAAAAGCAGAGAGCCGAACTCATCCCAAAACTATACTAGCAATATTCTTAGTTTTTTGTATTAACGAGGACGGTTTAATAAGTCAGTGAATTTTTAGATAAAATAATCGCTTTATTGCGGCAAATTAACATTTTATTTTTCTAATACAAAATCACCTTTTAGATCGATATATTTAGTCTATCGTTTTTCTAATTTTTTTATTCCCTCCCAATAATAGGTTTTCCCCAAGACTCTCAAAATTTGTTTCGGTAGTGACTTCTATACTGGATACGACACCAGTTCGTATATCAATTCGTGGATTTTGGTCATCGTGACTATCAGCACACGAAATTTACTTTATTCGATTTTCGTAAAAATTCACCAGGGTGTCTGCTCTGAATGGTTATCAAACACCAACTGCATGATGTAGCGTTCTCAAAATTTGACAGTTGGCCACTAATAGATTACAGCTGACAGCAGCACCAATGCATTTGGAGCAACTGAGCGGGAAATTAAAAAAGTCATTGACTTATCAAACCGCCCTCGTCGTTCGTTATTTAAAAAAACCAACAATCAAGTGTACTATATATAGCACTTCTTAAGTTTAGTCAAAATTGCCACTATTTTTCTTATTTCTATGATATATAGTAGTGCTATATGACACTTTAGTCCCATCTTTAAAATAATACTATTTCAATAGCTTTTATCGCAACGAATTGCTAAATGTAGAACAAAATGGATGAATGCCGAACAACACTAACAACGAGAGCAAATCTTTTAAGAAAATTAATGTGGCGGAGTCAGGATTACAGTAAGTTAAAGCACGAATCTAGTCGATAGGCATTTTGGATCATTTACAATGCTTTCTTCGCGTGTCAAGAAATACGCTACTTTTAGGATATTCAGGAATAGCCAAGAAGTAAGAGTGGTAAAGTGCATTGTATGTATTAAATGCAATGGTCGAAGGGGAATCCTTATGAAAACATGAAAGGAAGCTAAATTCGGCGAGCCGAACAATCATCATTACAATCATCACAAATTTAAAGCAAAATGCATAAAGATTAATCAACAGCAAAGTTACGCGATTTTTCTATTAATATTATACATTCAAGGGTTGTTCAGAAGACAACTATATAATATAATACTGCCTTCCGATTTTCAGTAAATTTAATTTATATTAATAAACTTAAAAATTTCTTTCGTTTTAATTTTTTTTTCCTTCCTTCTTTTAACATCCCGTCAAAATTTCCGCGAACTGGGTTATACCCAGCAAGTTTATTAAGTGATAGATTTATTAAAATTAACAAAGGTTTACAGGACTGACAAAAATTCCTCGACGCTTGACAACTTAATTGATGCAACCAACACGACAGCTTGATCAACACTGCTCTCGCTTTTCCACTTCGCTCTGAGGGAATGCTCTCTTTGTCGTCACGCTGCCCATACTGCTTTACATTCGGCCATCGTGATTAGTCTTCTGTCTCAGATGACTCACACTGCTCGTCGGTCTGGGTTGCATATGCCCACAGCTTCATGTGATCTTCACTTGTACATGTCTTCATCGGACCTTCGACCTGAGCTGTCTTACGAACGTCATAGCGCCCATTTCGCTTTACTTTTATTATCTCGTATGGGCACAAAAACTCGCTTGCCAGTTTCCTTCCAGCGACAAATTGCGTACGACGGATTGCGACCAAGTCACCCACACGATACTCGTGAGGATTCTTACACTTCTTATCGTGCTGCCTTTTGTACGATTCTTGTGCGCACTGAATATTACATTTTGCCTCTTGTCTTATCCGCAGTCTTTCCTCATCAAAATGTTCGTACATCTCCTGCTCCAACATTCTATTAATGCTTTCCAGCTTAAACCAGCTGTAAATGCCGAACCTCGATCTGACACAATCCTCATCGGAGCCCCGAATACTGCCGACCACATATCCAATTTGTTTATAGTTTCCTCACAGCTTGTTGTTTTGGTCGGATACAGCCATATGAATTTTGTGAAAGCATCAACAATCGCTTAAATATGTTTGTATTGTTTTGTAGTGGCAGCCATTGGCCCCAAATAGTCTATATGAAGTGTATGTAGCGGCTGATCTCCCTTTTCGACGAGATGTAACTGTCCTTTTTTTTTACCAATTTTTTTTTATTAAACATTATACATTTTATACAGCCACTTATGGCTTGTGAAACTTTTCTCTCTAGATGTGCAATCCAAAAATGGTGCCTAATATTGTGACATGTTTTTTGAGCACCAAAATGTCCTGCATTATAAGCCTCAACAGTTATTTCCTTTTCCATTTGCCGTGGAACAACCAATAAATCATCTTCTACCTTATAGACCAGCCCGCCTTTTAGTTTGTACGATCCATATGGACGGTCAACAAGTATTTCTAAGATGGCTTTTATCATTTCGTCTTTCTCCTGCGCTTTTTTCAACTTAGCCGTCATCTCTGTCGACACCAACATAATCTGGCACGGATAGCGACTAAGAAAATCGACGTGTTTAAGTCTGTTTCCCGGTCGATACTCGATTTGAAACTCAAAATCCTGCATATATACGATCCATTGCTGAACTTCACGAGGGACATCTTGCTTGTTAAGCGTTTGACTAAACGCTGCACAATCTGTCACCAGCTTAAATGGCTTTCCCAGTAAATAGCGTCGAAATTTTTTTATGGCTAGATAAGCTGCTTTCGCCTCTAATATGTAACTATGTTTGCGTGACTCTGATTCAGTCGTTTTCTTACTCCAATATAAAACTGGATGGAGCTCTTCTTCGGACCACTGCAACAAGGCTGCCCAAAACCATCTTTTGATGCATCTGTATGCAATTTGCTTTTAGCTTCTCTATTGTATAATTATAGCACGGGTTCTTCTGTCAATGCCTTCTTTAGCTCTTGAAAAACCGCCAATTCTGCTGACTCTATCCGGAAGGTTGCATCTTTCTTCAAACGAATAATCTTTAATGAACTTCCGAAAAAAGGCTGTTAATCCCAAAAAGGCCTAAACAGCTCGCACATTTTTGGGCACAGGAAACTTATTAACAGCATCTGTTTTCTCCTGACCAGGACCAACATATGCTCCATAAATTTTATGGCTTAGAAACGATATAGATGGCTGTAAAAAATGGCATTTCTTCCATTTAATTTTTAATCCGTGCAACGTAGCCGCCTTCAATACCATCTTCATCTTCTTTAAACATTCGTCTGCTGTTTCCGCGTGAATTATTATATCATCCACGTATAGGTCCAAAACATTTTGCTTCCTTAAATCTTCGAAAATGTGACTCACATATCGTATAAACACGGGTGGTGAATTCCCAAATCCAAATGGGGCTTTATTGAATTCAAAAAGCCCATTCTTTGTAAGAACTTGGCCTTCTGCAATTTCTCCAGCACGTCATCAATTACCGGTACAGGAAAACAATCTTTCAAAACCATTGAGTTTAGCTTTCGATAATCAACACAAATTCGTCTTGAGCCATAATTTTTGTTTAACAGCACCAAACGACTGGCAAAGTGAGATAACGACTCTCTAATAATTCTTTAGCGAAGTCTAATTTGAATTTGCCGGTCAACTTCTTCTTCCTCCTCAATAGCCAGTCGTCTAGGAGCTTGATGAAATGGAATAATTTCACCATCTGGTATTATCTTCAGCAGCACAGGAAACTCAATCACCGGCTTCACAGGATCATATTGGTCAATCAACGATTTTACTTCATGTAGATACCGCGACGGAACATCAATATCAATGTGTGCTTCAACCATATTGTATATATCATACTTATCTGATTAGGCGCATCAGCTTTCCCACCGGTAGGGCAGGAAAACTGATATCCATCTTGCGAAGAAGTAAAAGTAAATCCAAATTTATCTCAGCTACGAAACGACCAATGGGGCGAATTATATTGTTCCCCAAACCTCGTAGCTGCAATTCACATTTTTCCAACTGCACGCTGCTGACCTTTTTGAATACGTTCTCTTTGACAATAGTCAAATCAGCTCCTGTGTCTATCAAGCAGTCCACTTCAATTCCGTTTAATATGACTCATTTTAGACGCTTACTGTCGTGCACCAATGCCACATTCACAGCTGTTCCAGGACAATCCCTTGAAATATGTCCACCTTTTTGGCAACGAAAACATTTTTTTCTTCTTTACAAAAAATGCTCTGAGGACCCACAGTTATAGCATTGATTTTTCTTTTCTTTATCCTCCTGTCCCGCATTAAACTTTTTTTCTTCTCTTTGCAACTTATTAGCTGCCGACGCTCGCTCATAAATTCCATACTGATTTTCCAGCTCCTTAAACTGAACTTAAAGTCAGTTTTCAAATTTAGACCATCTACTATATAACGAATTATTGAACAGGAGTCAACTGCGCCCGCCGTGGCAATCTTCCTCATTTGGAGCACATAGTCTTTGAAGCTTTCTTCTTTTTCTTTTTTCTGCAAACGCAACTTTGCATGTATATCCGCACTACACACAGAAGACTCACTATCAAATTCCTCTTCCAATAGTTTCCGCAACTCAGAATAATTGGATGCGTGTGTCGTCTCAAGAAAATATTTTGCAGATTTTGTAACCTTCCATAGGGCATGTACAAATTTCTGTGGATCACTTAGTCCATACGCGTTGGCGTTTGTCTCAAAGCTCGTGAACCAATTTTTAACTGGAATTGTTATACATATCATCAAATTCTGGTATTATGCTCGCAAAATTTTTAACAGTAATTTTAGGTTCGTCTCGCTTAACTTCATCTGCTTGTATTTTTAACGTCAACACCACCAACAAGTATTAAAAATAACAATATTCTGTTAGTAATTTATAATAAAATTAAATGATATTTGTACTTACAATGTGTCAATCTTCCCTTTTGCGCCTTAGATATTAGAGATGGAAAAACATCGATGTTGCCCCGGTAAACATCGATGTTGCCGATGTTTCAAAAACATCGATATCATCGATGTTGCCATCGATGTTTCTCCACCTCTACAGGGAAGACCTTCGCACACTGGTAAGTTCCTCCTTCCACAAGTATGGGTCACTACAGCCCCTCTTCTTCACCTCTAGGCCACGCAATCGCGGTACACAACGATGGAAACTTGTTTTCGCGCACTCGAATGAAAAACACGTCCGGCACGCATCGACTTTCCTCTTCTTCATATGTGTGTGTATGTGTATGGATATGTGTGTTTGGGAACTCAGAAATATATGAGTTTAAAATTGAATGTTGTATATTTGGAAATTATAAATGATGTGGGCTGTATTGTAAATGTCACTTTGGAAATCTTTGAAGGGTGTACTGCGAAGGAACTTACGTTTGTTATCGTGCTTATGTATGGGCATGTGTACCCTGCAGTTCCAAAATTGCTTTGTCGTAGATGAAATGTGCGACGACGCACCGACGACAGCGGAGGTAGGTGCTACAGCCGCACCTACCACATTTCAACAGACATTTTGTATGGAATTGAAGTTTTCGACATACATGACGCTCTCGATGACCTTTTTGTCCGTGTCGTCGAACGAGTCGTCGGTGGCTTATATTTGTATTTTTTTTGTAGTTAAATTTAAATAAAAATATAAACAATTGTTGTATATTATAAAAGTTTTTTTTTATTTTTAAATACAATCAGTAATTATAAGACTTAAAATACTCTTCATTAAAATAATTCGTTTCTTTTAAGCCGACACAATCTAAATATTTTTTAAACAATCATTTCATAAGAAAAATATATTAACTTTGAATTATAACCAGGGATGCCAGGCAGGGTCCATACGACACAGATTGTCGATGTTGGTTGCCGATTGTATAAGCATGGATATCTTTTTATTTTCAATACTATCGAAATAAGAAATTTTATTAAAACGTGACATTATAGTTTCCACGGCTGAATTCACAACGTTAACTGTGAGCTCCATATAATTTCCATCGATAGAATGCTCTTCTGAACGGTCCTTACATTCTCTAAGCCCTTTTTTTTGCAAGGCTATTATTTCATCTCTTAAAACAGTTTGCAATATTGAGCATAGCTTATAATTTGGTTGAATAAAACATCGAGCTGTTGCTACAATTGCTGCCGATAAAGGGCCAGTTGTACCAATGTGTGTTACAAATTCTCCAATGTTGGGAGTTAAGCGAAATGGTACTGGCCTGTGTTGGTTAAGCTCACACTTATCATCATTTACATCAAATTTAAAATAAGATATGTTCATCAGTCCAGAGTCTTGATGGAGGTACATCATATCGGCATTCAGACGAGTCAAGTTTAAGGCGTGTTCGCATAGAAAAGCCAACGCCAACTGCAGAGTAAGCTGTAAGACAAAAATAAATTGTGTTTTATTTATAACTTAAAATTCTCTAGTTTACATTGTAAAGCAAGAAATCAAATAAAGTTAAGATCGCATAAAAGCAGAGAGCCGAACTCATCCCAAAACTATACTAGCAATATTCTTAGTTTTTTGTATTAACGAGGACGGTTTAATAAGTCAGTGAATTTTTAGATAAAATAATCGCTTTATTGCGGCAAATTAACATTTTATTTTTCTAATACAAAATCACCTTTTAGATCGATATATTTAGTCTATCGTTTTTCTAATTTTTTTATTCCCTCCCAATAATAGGTTTTCCCCAAGACTCTCAAAATTTGTTTCGGTAGTGACTTCTATACTGGATACGACACCAGTTCGTATATCAATTCGTGGATTTTGGTCATCGTGACTATCAGCACACGAAATTTACTTTATTCGATTTTCGTAAAAATTCACCAGGGTGTCTGCTCTGAATGGTTATCAAACACCAACTGCATGATGTAGCGTTCTCAAAATTTGACAGTTGGCCACTAATAGATTACAGCTGACAGCAGCACCAATGCATTTGGAGCAACTGAGCGGGAAATTAAAAAAGTCATTGACTTATCAAACCGCCCTCGTCGTTCGTTATTTAAAAAAACCAACAATCAAGTGTACTATATATAGCACTTCTTAAGTTTAGTCAAAATTGCCACTATTTTTCTTATTTCTATGATATATAGTAGTGCTATATGACACTTTAGTCCCATCTTTAAAATAATACTATTTCAATAGCTTTTATCGCAACGAATTGCTAAATGTAGAACAAAATGGATGAATGCCGAACAACACTAACAACGAGAGCAAATCTTTTAAGAAAATTAATGTGGCGGAGTCAGGATTACAGTAAGTTAAAGCACGAATCTAGTCGATAGGCATTTTGGATCATTTACAATGCTTTCTTCGCGTGTCAAGAAATACGCTACTTTTAGGATATTCAGGAATAGCCAAGAAGTAAGAGTGGTAAAGTGCATTGTATGTATTAAATGCAATGGTCGAAGGGGAATCCTTATGAAAACATGAAAGGAAGCTAAATTCGGCGAGCCGAACAATCATCATTACAATCATCACAAATTTAAAGCAAAATGCATAAAGATTAATCAACAGCAAAGTTACGCGATTTTTCTATTAATATTATACATTCAAGGGTTGTTCAGAAGACAACTATATAATATAATACTGCCTTCCGATTTTCAGTAAATTTAATTTATATTAATAAACTTAAAAATTTCTTTCGTTTTAATTTTTTTTCCTTCCTTCTTTTAACATCCCGTCAAAATTTCCGCGAACTGGGTTATACCCAGCAAGTTTATTAAGTGATAGATTTATTAAAATTAACAAAGGTTTACAGGACTGACAAAAATTCCTCGACGCTTGACAACTTAATTGATGCAACCAACACGACAGCTTGATCAACACTGCTCTCGCTTTTCCACTTCGCTCTGAGGGAATGCTCTCTTTGTCGTCACGCTGCCCATACTGCTTTACATTCGGCCATCGTGATTAGTCTTCTGTCTCAGATGACTCACACTGCTCGTCGGTCTGGGTTGCATATGCCCACAGCTTCATGTGATCTTCACTTGTACATGTCTTCATCGGACCTTCGACCTGAGCTGTCTTACGAACGTCATAGCGCCCATTTCGCTTTACTTTTATTATCTCGTATGGGCCCAAAAACTCGCTTGCCAGTTTCCTTCCAGCGACAAATTGCGTACGACGGATTGCGACCAAGTCACCCACACGATACTCGTGAGGATTCTTACACTTCTTATCGTGCTGCCTTTTGTACGATTCTTGTGCGCACTGAATATTACATTTTGCCTCTTGTCTTATCCGCAGTCTTTCCTCATCAAAATGTTCGTACATCTCCTGCTCCAACATTCTATTAATGCTTTCCAGCTTAAACCAGCTGTAAATGCCGAACCTCGATCTGACACAATCCTCATCGGAGCCCCGAATACTGCCGACCACATATCCAATTTGTTTATAGTTTCCTCACAGCTTGTTGTTTTGGTCGGATACAGCCATATGAATTTTGTGAAAGCATCAACAATCGCTTAAATATGTTTGTATTGTTTTGTAGTGGCAGCCATTGGCCCCAAATAGTCTATATGAAGTGTATGTAGCGGCTGATCTCCCTTTTCGACGAGATGTAACTGTCCTTTTTTTTTACCAATTTTTTTTTATTAAACATTATACATTTTATACAGCCACTTATGGCTTGTGAAACTTTTCTCTCTAGATGTGCAATCCAAAAATGGTGCCTAATATTGTGACATGTTTTTTGAGCACCAAAATGTCCTGCATTATAAGCCTCAACAGTTATTTCCTTTTCCATTTGCCGTGGAACAACCAATAAATCATCTTCTACCTTATAGACCAGCCCGCCTTTTAGTTTGTACGATCCATATGGACGGTCAACAAGTATTTCTAAGATGGCTTTTATCATTTCGTCTTTCTCCTGCGCTTTTTTCAACTTAGCCGTCATCTCTGTCGACACCAACATAATCTGGCACGGATAGCGACTAAGAAAATCGACGTGTTTAAGTCTGTTTCCCGGTCGATACTCGATTTGAAACTCAAAATCCTGCATATATACGATCCATTGCTGAACTTCACGAGGGACATCTTGCTTGTTAAGCGTTTGACTAAACGCTGCACAATCTGTCACCAGCTTAAATGGCTTTCCCAGTAAATAGCGTCGAAATTTTTTTATGGCTAGATAAGCTGCTTTCGCCTCTAATATGTAACTATGTTTGCGTGACTCTGATTCAGTCGTTTTCTTACTCCAATATAAAACTGGATGGAGCTCTTCTTCGGACCACTGCAACAAGGCTGCCCAAAACCATCTTTTGATGCATCTGTATGCAATTTGCTTTTAGCTTCTCTATTGTATAATTATAGCACGGGTTCTTCTGTCAATGCCTTCTTTAGCTCTTGAAAAACCGCCAATTCTGCTGACTCTATCCGGAAGGTTGCATCTTTCTTCAAACGAATAATCTTTAATGAACTTCCGAAAAAGGCTGTTAATCCCAAAAAGGCCTAAACAGCTCGCACATTTTTGGGCACAGGAAACTTATTAACAGCATCTGTTTTCTCCTGACCAGGACCAACATATGCTCCATAAATTTTATGGCTTAGAAACGATATAGATGGCTGTAAAAAATGGCATTTCTTCCATTTAATTTTTAATCCGTGCAACGTAGCCGCCTTCAATACCATCTTCATCTTCTTTAAACATTCGTCTGCTGTTTCCGCGTGAATTATTATATCATCCACGTATAGGTCCAAAACATTTTGCTTCCTTAAATCTTCGAAAATGTGACTCACATATCGTATAAACACGGGTGGTGAATTCCCAAATCCAAATGGGGCTTTATTGAATTCAAAAAGCCCATTCTTTGTAAGAACTTGGCCTTCTGCAATTTCTCCAGCACGTCATCAATTACCGGTACAGGAAAACAATCTTTCAAAACCATTGAGTTTAGCTTTCGATAATCAACACAAATTCGTCTTGAGCCATAATTTTTGTTTAACAGCACCAAACGACTGGCAAAGTGAGATAACGACTCTCTAATAATTCTTTAGCGAAGTCTAATTTGAATTTGCCGGTCAACTTCTTCTTCCTCCTCAATAGCCAGTCGTCTAGGAGCTTGATGAAATGGAATAATTTCACCATCTGGTATTATCTTCAGCAGCACAGGAAACTCAATCACCGGCTTCACAGGATCATATTGGTCAATCAACGATTTTACTTCATGTAGATACCGCGACGGAACATCAATATCAATGTGTGCTTCAACCATATTGTATATATCATACTTATCTGATTAGGCGCATCAGCTTTCCCACCGGTAGGGCAGGAAAACTGATATCCATCTTGCGAAGAAGTAAAAGTAAATCCAAATTTATCTCAGCTACGAAACGACCAATGGGGCGAATTATATTGTTCCCCAAACCTCGTAGCTGCAATTCACATTTTTCCAACTGCACGCTGCTGACCTTTTTGAATACGTTCTCTTTGACAATAGTCAAATCAGCTCCTGTGTCTATCAAGCAGTCCACTTCAATTCCGTTTAATATGACTCATTTTAGACGCTTACTGTCGTGCACCAATGCCACATTCACAGCTGTTCCAGGACAATCCCTTGAAATATGTCCACCTTTTTGGCAACGAAAACATTTTTTTCTTCTTTACAAAAAATGCTCTGAGGACCCACAGTTATAGCATTGATTTTTCTTTTCTTTATCCTCCTGTCCCGCATTAAACTTTTTTTCTTCTCTTTGCAACTTATTAGCTGCCGACGCTCGCTCATAAATTCCATACTGATTTTCCAGCTCCTTAAACTGAACTTAAAGTCAGTTTTCAAATTTAGACCATCTACTATATAACGAATTATTGAACAGGAGTCAACTGCGCCCGCCGTGGCAATCTTCCTCATTTGGAGCACATAGTCTTTGAAGCTTTCTTCTTTTTCTTTTTTCTGCAAACGCAACTTTGCATGTATATCCGCACTATACACAGAAGACTCACTATCAAATTCCTCTTCCAATAGTTTCCGCAACTCAGAATAATTGGATGCGTGTGTCGTCTCAAGAAAATATTTTGCAGATTTTGTAACCTTCCATAGGGCATGTACAAATTTCTGTGGATCACTTAGTCCATACGCGTTGGCGTTTGTCTCAAAGCTCGTGAACCAATTTTTAACTGGAATTGTTATACATATCATCAAATTCTGGTATTATGCTCGCAAAATTTTTAACAGTAATTTTAGGTTCGTCTCGCTTAACTTCATCTGCTTGTATTTTTAACGTCAACAATTGTATTACCTGTTGCAACATCTCATTATTTGCATTAATTTTTCCTGAATTGTCTATTTCATTTTTCATTTTACTTTCATGCGTTACTGCTGCTACAATTTTTCTTCTTTCTTTTTCCTAGATCAATTAAGGGAGGCACGATA